CTGACACGGTGATTGTATACAATCCTAGGAAGCAGATGAGTGTGTTCCGATTTCGGTTGTTAATTCCAATACTAATGAGCACATTCTAGATAATACCGAGTTTTTATCCAATACAATGTCGGACAGACACAGGATGAACTTCAGAAGATGTGCAATCAATTACAGACACCTGGACACCAATTTAAGCTGTGGCGGATGTGGTGCTTTAATGAACTGGTGATTTCTTTGTAATTGTTGAATGCTTGATTTCCAGTTCTAAATACAGTACATTCGTTTGTGCTTATCTAGTACTTCTTGATTCAATTGCGTTATTTCTGGGACTCTTACTTCGTACTATAATTCAAATAATTCGAAACATTATTGTAACATAGTTCACCGACCAGCATTCTTCAACCCACTCTCACCTGGGCCTTCTTTTCTAATTCCATCCTATTCTTGTTCGTTTTATAGCGACTCACGTGCGATAGAGCTTCGTTCAGTCTAGGTCTTTTGTTGACCTATTTAATGGATAAAGTTATCCATGATATAACAACTTGTTGTACTATCATTATTATTGTGCTTGTATGAAATACATATGATTGAACATTGTTTAGCGCCTACGCATGTATTCATTCTGCTAGCTTCATTATTAAACGGAATACACCCATTATGACATTAAATAAGAAAGATTAGTTCAGCGAAGAGTTCTCTTTTCGGCGAATTCATTTTCAAAGCTGTACAATCGCAAATATATATACTTATTTTTACAGGGTGATGATAATACTGATAATAAACTTATGATATACATGGTGACAGTGAGGTTAAATAAACAAAGGTATTAGAAAAAAATTTTTTAAAATCAAGGAAAGTTTGATAGATAATGGCTTAGATAGTCATCGGGTAAGAGTAGCTCAGCATGATAAAATAACATAAAATGTTGAAACAGAGATGAAATGTAATCGGAATGATCGTTGAAATAAAACAAACCGGTTGGGGGTACAAGATTTGAAGGGAAGATGGAAGGTGAAGCAGGTGGCTGTAAAAGAACAAGAGTTATGAGAAAGAGAAAAAATTTTAATACATTAAGACCATGGTAAAAGAAGAGGTTGTACCAGTCTCTTTTGTACACATAATTCTGGTTTTTCAAAATGTATGGCTATTGCCTCGGCAATGCAAAGAAGATGTAGTCTAATTGTCTTAGGAAGGTTTCTACTTACCTTGTAGATGACTTTGAACGCAGAGTCTGTCTTGATTGAGTGACCTGTGTTCACAAGGTGTTCGATTATAGAACTTCTTATTGAGCCGCTGCCTCCTCTTCTTATCCACGCCGGACAATGTTCTTGAATTCTTTTGGATAAAGTACGCATCGAACGACCTATATACCTAGCTCCACAAGAGCAGGTAAATTGGTAAATGCACATTGAATTGGTCAGATGCGATAATTTATCTTTCATATTATTGGTGAACAGTGATCGGCTGGAGAATAATATTCGCAATGTTGCTGCGAAGAATGTTCTTTTTAAAGAATCTGAAATTCTCCTCTTTAAGATATATGCGGCTCTATCACCTTTGAAGTCGATGTTCATGGATAAAATTTTCTTTTCTACTGCAGTTGTTTGTGGTCTTTCATGTTCTTATCAATGAATATAGAAGGATATCCGTTTTTGATAAGTATCTCTTTTAAAAAACTCAATTCTTCCTCTACGACCTCGGGGCTACAGATTCTTCGTATTCTTGTGGCGAGAGTTATTATTAAGTTTCTTTTTCGGCTGACGGGAACCCAACTGTGGAAATTTGATAGTTGGCCATTCCACATGGGTTTCCTGTAGATAGATCTTTTAAAGTACCATCTTGTTTCCTTGTTATATCTACATCAAGGAAGTGAATATTTTGTTTGCTTTCAACTTCAATTGTGAATTTTATTGATTTGTGACAATTATTAAATGTATTTAGGAGATCATTTAAGTTACATTTGTTATCACAAATGATAAAGATATCATCTATATACCTTGTATATAAGTGGAGGTTTTCTATAATTCTTCTAAGTTGGTTGTTTTCTAAACTGGCCATGAAGCAATCTGCCAGTAATGGACCAAGTGGGGATCCCATTGCTATACCATCCTTCTGTCTATGAATTACGTCGTTGAATGTGAACTGTACATTGCAAGTACAACGTAGTAATAATTCCTTCAAATAAACCTCAGGTATCTCAATGTTTATCTCAGTATTGTTTATGTACTTGCAGATAAAATTAATGGTTTCTGTAAGTGGGACATTAGTGAATAATGATTCCACATCCAGAGATAGCATAATTTTGCCAATTACATTCACTTCTTTTATGTGCTCGATAAATTCAATTTGTACTTACACTTAACCTACCCTGGTAGTACTGATTTACTGTCCAGAGTGGTAATCACATTTGTTTTTGTGTACTTTAATATTTTTCCTTTGTTATGACTTACCCTTAACCTGTCTAGTTGACCTTTTAATTTTTCATATATAAATGTTCTTAACAAGTATATGTGTGACCAGATTGTTCGAAATGTATTGCGCAAATATATCACATAATTCTGATAAACTTCGTCTTCTCATTGCATTATCGAAATTCAAAAGTATCACGTACAGAATGTTTACAAATGGGTTTTCTAACGGGTTCTAAGAGATTCGCCAACCACTTTGCTATAGGGTGGTAAAGGGATCCAGACATATCGAGAATCGGTCTAAGAGGTAGGCCAGGTTTGTGTATTTTTGGCAAACCGTATAATCGCGGTATTATCGATGCTGTTGGTCTTATGTGCTCAAATACCTGTTCGTTGATTAACTGCTCTTTTTTCATTTTCTTAAGGACGTCAATTAGTTGCTTTTCTATACTTTCAGTCTTGTTTTTCTCATTGATGGGTTTTGAGAATTTGGTGTCATCTGATAACAACGTTGCCATTTTTTCAACATAATCCTTGCGATCTAGCAGCACTAAACCAGCACCTTTATCTGGACGTGTTATGATCAAGTCTTTATTATTTCTAAGTAGTTTTATCTGATTTCTATGTTCTTTTGTTAGTAGACTTTTGCCTGTTACTTTTGTGTTAATATATTGGTTGCAGCTGTCAAGAAGAGTAGATTTGAAACGTTGGAATTCTTGATCAGAGATTGGATTAAGACCATTTGTTTGTTTGATTAAGTTTTCGAATTGAACATGTGTGTTGATTTTGTTAACTTTTTCATTTATGTCGCAGAATTTTATACTCAAAGATAAGGCTTCTAATTGTACATTTGTCAACGATATTGAAGAATGATTAAACACATATCTCTCAGGGTTGTTAGGAAAGTTGTGCTGTTTCTGTAGTTTTTTAAACTTTTAGTGAGATCTGATATTAAGTTTTTTGTGCGTTTGTTGATAACTGTGGTAACATAATCGGTGAAAAGATTGTGTTCGTTAGGTGATAATTCATATAATACAGATCTTTGTGAAATGTAGCTTCATTATTAACTGCTTAATCTATTCGCTGACTCATCCATTTTCCTATATATATGTACATTTGCACCCATACACTACAACTACTCGCTACTGCTACCGCTACAATCGTAGTTCGCTTGCTCATCCATTTTGCCTCTGCTGTCTGGTCCGAATTATCTGCTAAATAAACTGTAGTAGCTGCTTCTTTTTGCCTTCTGATTTCAAACATCGTTGAAGATTATACGATAACGGTTCGAGGGTGATTAGTTATCAAAGCACAGCCACTATAGAACTGGTAATCCCGACGTGAGAACGGGAAGCGAATTTCGACGAAATAATCAAATGTCAAAAATCCGACTCGCTTCATTTCAATTTGGATTATCATATGAACTATAATTATAACCGTGGATTTATTTTACTATTTTAACTACACTTGCATTAGTTCACAAACGTTATTAAACCTGACGATCATAATCATAATAAATAACGATTATTCATAAACAATTGATATATTAGTGCAATTTAGTAAGTCTGTTCCGTGTTATAAATTGTACCATTTTTTTATTATCATTGTTTTTGCCCGTCTATTTTTCCCTCTGACAGTTACATTGTTTTCGTGTGCTACTTAATTTTCTATAAACATGTCTTACGAAAACACAGTGTCAAGAGTACAGCAAACCTCGTCCGTGAGGTCTCTTAACCTTCCTGTGCCTTCTTTTAAAATCACAGACCCAAAACTTTGGTTTATAAGACTTGAAAATTATTTTCTCGCTAACCACATTCTCTTGCAAAAGGATAAATTCGGCCTCACGAGCACACTACTCCCAGACGAAGTAGCAGACAGCGTTCGAGAGGCATTAGCGAAGCCAGACAATGAAAAATCACACAACGTGCTAAAAGATACAGTAATTAAAACCCTCTCTCTCAGTGACCAACAAGCTGTTTAACAGCTCCTTAACCAAGTGCAAACTGGAGATAGAACTCCGTCACAACTAAAAAATATGAAAAGTCTACTTGGCGATAGACACATTGACAATAACCTCTTTCATCAACTGTGGCTGCGCCGACTCCCGTCAAATATACAGCAGATCCTAGCTGTGGGAGATACGGACGCTGATTTAGACAACATAGCAAAGATAGCTGATAGAATATACGAAAGAAGCAAGCAAACAAACCCTCAAGTACACAACGTGACGATAGACTTGATACTCTACAGAAGGAAATAAATGTTTTGTGCCGAAAACTCTCAAAGTTAACGCATAGAGAAAAGCCACGAAGGTCATTGCGAGATCACTCGCGTGACAGGAACCGGTCAACTTCTAGACGACGCAAAACTCCCACGATATGTTGGTATCATCAAATATTCGGCTACAGGGCTAGAGACTGCCTGCAACCTTGTGGGTTTAACAGGGAAGGTAACCGATACCCACGTATATCAATGGCAACGGCATCAATGCACATAATACCTGAAAATAGTCGCCTCTTTTAAATACAAGACAGAACCACAGGCGCACGACCATAAGGTCTGTCTGGTTAGGGAGTTCGCTGAATTACGAACAAAATTAAGATGACAACATTCGGTAAGTGTTTTTGATTCAAATTCCTCAGCAGATCGTGTTCTCCCATTCACTTTTTTTACTCACACTTGTATGTTTATATCTCCTTGCACCTAACTATTTCTATTTCTTACGTTTTAAAAAATCCGACATTTTAAGGATTAAATCGTTTCAAACGTATAATTGGTGGACAATCTGTCCCACGTGGTACGTATCCATGGGCAGCATCAATTCAAGCTAAACGACATACATCGTGGTCAACATTAGTTACAGGATCCGAACAACACTACTGTGGTGCAGCTTTAATTAAACCTGATTGGATAATTACAGCAGCGCATTGTTTATACGACAGTGGAGAAGATGATGAAATTATCAGGTGAATTTTTGGTTACATTGCTCACTTTAAGTGTAAAATTGAAGTAAAAAAGTAGTTCAAGTTACACTTGGCAATCACAAAGAAGTGGTGCAAGCTCTGGTCTCTATACACACTGCGATTTGAACTTTTCATACATAGGATCACTGAAAAGGTGATACAATTCTCTGTTTGAGATGATTTTAAAGTAAACATCTGAGCATTTCTGAATGGCCAAGCGACAACTCTCAACACTTTCTTAATATAACCCATATACCAAATAAAGTCTAATATATTCAGCTCCAAACTATACTTTTATGAGTGTGGTGAGGCTAATGTTACCATCTACGATTTCAATGGAGTACAGTTATAACTAATCACCACTGATTGCAACCAAAAACCCACTAAGCGGTTGTATTATTACATTGACAACGGATAAAATAGGCTTCGTAATAAGTTGTGAGGGATAAAAAAACACTGAACAGTTATTCACGAATTTGTATTGCGGCTACCACTGGAATTCAGATTTCCCGTTTTCGTCTTTGGTGTCCTCATTTCGATCAGATACAATTATTACCATTAACAACTGGGAACTCCAAACACTAACAAAGTCGACAGTAATTCACATCCACCTCTCAACCAAAGAAGAAAATGTTCAAGTTTTGAAAATAAGAGTTCATTTACACAAAATATAAGCAATATATTCACTGAACGAATTAGAGTAATTGATACATGTACAATTCTAGGGATTCATGTTTCCCTGATACTTCGAAACAGTTACTTCAAATGTAGCATAGTTCCATACAATTTTTTAAAATCACATGTTTATTCTAGGTTCTAATAAGCTAAACACAACCAAGTTAGTTATCAATTCTGTCAATATTTGGCACCGAAGTACTTAGTGAGTCCAGTAAATACGCAGTGAGCTAATTGGGTTGCAGTGAAGATTGATGACAGTGGAAATTTATTGAGACTTAAGAACATCCTCAGGAACTCCATGGAATGTTGAAGGTTGTTTATGGAGAATAAGCATTGAACAAAATAACTCTTTTCAAGTGAATTAAATACTTCAGCGAGGATAATGAGAACTATGAGAATTGTTATGAGGAGAAGACGCTCATTGACATATTGTGTTGAGGCGATTACTTAACACTTTCGGTTACTTGTGCTTTCTGATTGTTTCATTATTGGCTGATTGTTTGGTGATAAAGTGAATTTGAACAAAAATATTCTATCCAGATAATTTTAGCAAAATGTGAACGGATAATGCGAATAGAGATCCTGACATCAAACAACTGTTAAGGAGATTTAAAGTGATGAATTAAGTATATTGCCTCAGATAAAGAGTATCTTAACGAGGACCGATTTGAAGTACTCCATATTTTGTAAATCAAATTGTTTGCGTTGAACAGACAATATCCAACATTGATCGTTTGTTTAAATACCGTTTATTAATTGACATTATTCTGTAATATAGTAAAAATGTCATATGTAGTTTAATAAAGTTGATGCAATGTTTATTTCTCTACTTTCTAGCTATCTACATCCAAAAATGTGGCATGTACGAATGGCAACTGAAAAACTAAGTGTGAGTTAGTATAATTGATACAAACCAATATTTCACTATACTGAAATTATTTTAGTGAGAAAAAACACGGTATATCCTAACTTTAATAGAAAGTGTAACATTTTAACCGATCAATCTGTTACCATCCTGTCAGCTACGATACCATCTTAAACCGGTAGTTAGGAAAACTGAACGATAGTAGCCATTACTCTTAACCCCGGGTGGGATTAAAAAAATCATACATGGGATATTACAAAATAGAATAAACTGTTTAAACACCACACCATCGGACTGAATAACATTGGTCGGAAAACTGAAAATCTTTGATATCGTGTTATTCAACACAAATTAGCTATTCGGTCATATGAGTGCGCTTCCGAATTCGCACTGTAACAGCATCAAACTGTACATGTTTTCCTTAGAAAATTGATACTAATTCAGAGTTTATTCATTCTATCTTGTCGATCTGATATGTTCGAACCGCACAACTAATCTTTCGGATGGTTACTGATCCACTAGCAACTTCTAGAAGTCTGACAGATACGAGATGATTATGAAGACGGAGCACCTGAAATCTCATACCAAGTGGACAGTCATCTACAAAGAAAACTCAAAAGGACAGAATTGAACGATAACTAGACTGCAACATCCCGACTATATTTTGAAGAAATCCCTATCTTGGATAACGTTAATGTTCCTTTTTCTACCGGGAGCTCTTAAATGGGACGTTCGTTCCATAATAAAATCCTACAACTTATGAAAACTAAACATGACATGCAGTCTAGTGAGGTTAACTACCGCCATGCCTAACAAACGTTACCAAGCTTATTCTTTCAGAACTGATGAATCTGGATTCCGACGAACTGAACAATGTTCGCGAAAAACCCTCATCTTGGATAACGTAGATGACTCTTTTTTATAGCAAAATACAGATCTCTCTGAGTACCTACCAGTGCAAATTAGTTAGGGTTGTACTTTTCTTCCTATTTATTCTGTGCTGCTTCAAAAATAAACTGAGGTTATCGAACAATCCTACCACTTGTAATACGGTCCAGTGACGAGTGAAGTCACAACGATAATACAAGGAAGGCTATTGGTTTTCGTAACGTGAGGCAGAAACAATATTACATGACTACGTGCTTTGCATTACTCGACATGTGCAAATATCCCAACTACATTTAGGAAAAGAGGATTGAGTTATTTTTGGATATAAACCCTTAAAGGGAATACAAATGATGTAGGAATTCTGGAAAATAACTAGTCAGTGGCTAATACAACAGAAGTCAGCCAATAAGATGCAACGTAATCATCAACATTGTTCACCGGTTTAAGTTGCCAAACCCCATTATGAAACCTTCGAAAGGAATAACAGAGTGTGAGAGGTAGTAAGAACCACTAACGGTAATATGACTCAACACCCAATAGATACTTCACGAGGTTAATACGGACTCCCAAAATAGTAAAACATCCGTGACGAACACATAGCCAATAAACGGAATTACGTGAAAGATCAGTCTTGTTGGTGTTCTACTGATTCTCAACCTTCTCATAAATCATGAAACTGAATATCATTTTCTACTTTACACTCCTCGACTTTACTTGTTCCATTTTGATGAACTGTGTCTATCATGTTTAGATTACCATTGATTTCGATAATATCTCACATTCTGTTTTTCTTACGTCATTAATGCCCTCTTGATTTACTGACGTGTAGAGAAACAACTTGGACCGATGCACAATCACACAGAATCCCATGTTGACAATCACTGACTGAATAAATGAATGGTAATCAAAAGCTTAAAATACATCCAGTTACTGAAGTCATAAAGATAGGCTATTGGTTTTTGTAACGTCAGGTAAAAATGATGTTACAATCACTCCCTTTGGAAAATTTGAATAACACAATGAGAGTATAAAATAGTCAGAACTATTCAAAAGTGACGAACGGATTCGATCATGAACAAGAGGATCTCTGGCGTTTTGAGAACTAGGGAAGTGGTTGTCAGTTACTGACCGTCAACACTACGAAGCGATGTGCTATTCGGTGACCTGCCCGAAGGAAACGCTTAACTACCTCCATACATCGATGCAGCCTGTAACACAAAGCTTCTTACGAACCATGAGTTTGTTTCTATTCTCACCGTTCCCCAATTGAACTGGTGAGACCTAAAGGAACAACTATTTAAGCCAATATAGCGATTGAGCAAGCTTGAACAGTCTAGTGCAACAAAACAAAAGTACTGAAGGCGTTACATTATTTATTGACAGTAACTTTAGGAACGGACAATTGTATAATATCGTACTGCAGATTTACTTACTTGTTTTCGTATAGTCGATCATCGACCGTATTCTCACTGAAAGGTGAAAGATGATAACACTGGCTTCATGGAATTAGTGAGGACATCCATACTGGAAAGTCAGTGCTGACTTTAGTTTTTAGGATACAAATATAATTGTGATGAATGATTGATAACTTATGTTTCAGAAGTCATTTTTAAAAGTCACTTTGATAATTAATTAGTGCAAAGTCCAGTAGAGGTTTAGTTTGGGCTAACCCGAGGTGAAGTGTGAATCGATAGACACAAACGACCGAAATTTGGCCTGTAAAATTTTAGGAAATACTTTCTGATTAGTTGCATAAGGAAAAGTACATTACCACGACGATATAATAAATTGCAGACCGAAACTCGAAGTAAAGTTACTCATTGAAGAGACAATTTTAGTTTCAGGTCAGAAAACAAGTTCATACATGTACACCAGGTTGGTTTCTCATAAACGTATTTTGTAATGTCCTGATTAGCACCAAGTCAAGAAGTCTAGCTACTCCGATTAACCAATTTGAACAGTACATGCTCTTTTCGCATTTGGATTAAACCATTCGAGCAACATTAGCAACACTAGGTTATAATAATGCTTACAACAGTAATTGGATGCAAACATCTTCATTAACGAGATGGGGTAATTAAGTTGTCGTATGACCAATAAATCCGGTTCAAGGTAAATTTCTTTGAGGGGAGTTTTTAGCAAATGTATGTACCTATGAAGAATTTTTTAGGAAAACTCCATTTCAAGGACAATTTTGTGGAAATGTCGATGTATTCACGAGACAAGCCGAAAAGATCTTTAAATATGGAAATTCGCAAAATTTCATTAGCCGGTTGAGACGAAGCAAAAAACTCATTTCAGACGACAAATTCTGATAAATAATCAACAGTTTAAGCTAGTCATTACTTAAATAATTATATTATTAGTGTAAAATGGATCAGACTTATTTGTTCCGCAAATCCTATATAGGAAATTATGGAGCGAATCCACACTTAATTGAAGTGGGAAGTTGTATGTCTTAAAGTTGCGTGACCGGAACTATATCTAAGGTCTGATAATCTTGATGTACTAATTACATGACCGCATCGATAAATTGTTTCAGAATAGGAAGTATTCGAGTCAGTCAAACACTGGATCGTATCCAGTTGATTAGATTGAATGGAACTTAACTGTGTCCATGTTACTTATTTTTTAAAATATAACTGATTACCTTTAAAACTTTTTTTCTGGAATGGAATTAGGATCAGTGAAGATACTTCTGGAAGCAAATAATCGTACATCTTAGTAGTTTCATAATTTACGGGTATTAACGAGCTCAACGCTGAGGCGCATGAATTTCCACCTGAATAAAAAAACCCGCCGAAATACACCATATCCGCTATGGACCAATAACTAAGTGTTTTAAGAGGGGAGAGAAGATAGACCAATTAGCGTAAGATTACGACCCCGAAATCACATAAAACAACGTCGATTTCTTATAGGTCAAGTTGGAAGGGATGAGGATCATATGCATTGTACAAGGTCGATATATAACCTTGATAAAGTCAGCCAATCACCGTTCGGTAAACATTGACAAAGTCATAACCTATGAGAGACAGAAATTACAAAGCGATATAATATAAATAAGAAGATGGAGATTGGTGAGATCGTACGCGTTCGTCTACAAAGTGATGCCTCCTAAAGTTGTGTCTGGTAAGGCTGCGAAGAAAGCGTCGAAGGTTAAGCTGCCGAAGGTTGATAAGAAGAAGAAGAGGAGGAGGAAAGAGAGTTATGCTATTTACATCTACAAGGTTCTTCGTCAAGTTCATCCTGACACCGGTATTTCGTCGAAGGCAATGTCGATCATGAACTCGTTTGTGAACGATATATTTGAGCGTATTGCCGCAGAAGCCAGCCGACTCTCTCACTACAACAAGAAGTCGACAATTTCGAGCCGGGAAGTGCAGACAGCAGTCCGATTGTTGTTGCCAGGTGAGCTGGCAAAACACGCTGTATCTGAAGGCACGAAGGCAGTGACGAAGTACAGTGGTTCTAAATAAATTGTTTCGAGAGTTTCTGTGTAGAGAACGCTTCCACGGCCCTGTTTAGGGCCACCAATTTCTGATTTTGTTTTAATTTTTCTCTAAATGTAAGTTGGGATTCGATGAGAGGTTTTCTGTCCGGAATTGCCTTGTACTTAGTGTACTTAATTTTTTCCGGCTGATATGGTGGTTTATGTCGTGACACCTTGTGAGTTATGTGTAGTGGGGACAAAGGGTTTGTGGTTTGTTGTGTTAGTGCGCATGTGAGGGACCGGATCGATACTGGTACGGATGGTTTCGAGCGTGGGCTGCCACCGGAGGCCTTGTAGTTTATAGTTGCATTGTGAGCGAAGACTAGCACAAGTGGTCGGGAATCCTAGCCTGTTACTGCACACAGGGATATTCGTGGTTTTGTCACCCTCCATCTTGGATTGCTGGTTATAGTGTGCACGGTGAAGTTGGTGAGTCATAGAGGGGGTTTACCGTCGAATTCACAGTATCGGTTCCAGTCTAAAACGTTATTATTGCTATTATTATTATTTTGATTATTCTCAATCGACTATGTAGTTTATTCAGTAGAGCTTGATTATAAGACGTTGTGGTTAGTGCAGTTGACACTCTTCATAGAAGTAGTGTTATTGTACCAATGAACTGATCCTAGTACATAATTTCCCAATTATAGTA